AGAAGACTCAGCATGATGCTATCAGCCCCTTTTGTTACCCAGGGGTTTCTACAAGACTGCCAATCATAAAGAGCAATTTTTTTTCAAGTAATTAGAGGCAAAGTCTCAAAATGTAATCCTGAAGGCATACTGAAAAGCATTTTTCCCTCCTCCTGTTTGGTTTACAAATAGAACTGTCTTTCCCAATGTTTTTTGACTGTTGCACTTCTGCTTCTAGACAGATACCTGTAAAGGGGAACATCCACAATCTAATCTCCAGGATAAAGTTTTGGTTTAGTCTGTTCTTTATCCACAGGAACCACAGAACAGCATAGCCCTATTTTTCAAATTTAAGTCTCATATATATATAAAAAGTCCATTCACTGTAGAGGAGTGACTGGAGTGGCTGACAGTGCTGGATTGTTTCCATTTTGCTGCTGACTGATTTGACAGTTCGTGTCTATAGGTCTTGTGTGGATTACCTATCTCCCTTATGTTAGGTTTTAAAAAAGCATCTTCTCTGGTGTAAAAACAGACTTTTCTGAAAGATTAAATGAAATCATATGGCTTCCATTCTTCTTCTAGATTTTAATAATGACTTTCATGTTTTCCTTGGTTACAAAAGTTGATTTTCTAACTGGGTCCCTTGGCCAAAGCATAAGCAAAAGCGTATTTTTTCCATAGATGCATTCTAACTAATACAGTCATAATAATTTAAAAAAAAATTAAAAATTAAAAAGTTGACCTAAAAGGTGAAGTTACTACTAGCTTCAATTTTTTTGAATCAACAATTCTTTTCCAAGAAGGCATAAGGGAATACATGATCAAATATCATTCTCTTGAAGGAAAAGCTGTTTTGTTTTGGTTTGTTTTCTGTAAACAATACAGATTACAAAAGGTATCTGTCTAAACATTGTCATTTTTTTCTTCAGAAACCCTGATCCTACACCAGAGATAACATTATGATCCACTTTCTCAGAATCTAAAAAAATTACTGCAAGCAATCGAGAACTGTTCCAACTCATATATTATTCACTAGAATGATTGGATGGAAACTTTTGCTCATGGCAGCCTATCACTGTAGCACTTAGAAGCAGCATTAGCATCACACTGGTAACTACTAAATATGATGTTTACCCATCAACACACCTCCCAAGTATATAATATTTTATCTCACTGGGGGAACTACCAGCTAAAATAAGATTAGCAGATGAAATTTAAATCACACTACAATAGCTTTGTATAATAGGAAATTCTGTGCACTATTTCAGAGGAAGCAACTCATATTAGAGTTTTAAATTTTCATTTACAATTTCTATTCTTTATGGTCTAATGACTGGGCAGTTCAGACATCACCGATGTTACAAACCTTAAAAAGTAGATTGAATTAGAAGTTCATGGAGATGGGGCTGGAGTGGGCAAGGGGTATTTCCTCTCTCTCAGAAAGAGTCCAAATGATGATGCTGGGTAATGAACTTCAGCTAAGCTGAGTCTCTTCTATCTGCTGAGGCCTGAAGAGTCTTTTCTCTAAAAATTGAAATAGTTTAGTATCATATGTAATTGACAGCAATATCTTGCCTACAAGTATTTAAAATGTTTTCTAAGAGTTTCTAAAATTTGGGATTTTTTTCCTAACAGGAAATAATTTGAAAAACCAAAGGGCAAGGAAACGATGAAACATAGCTCTTCCATACTCTGGATACTTAATATTCAAATGATGGCAATTGCCTTTGCCCAAGTTCCTACTCAAGTAAATGTTGTAGATATAAGTAAAGCAAGACCACACATTACAGTATCAGGCACCTCTGTGATACCAGAAGAGAATAGCCAATCTTTGGACCAGGGTGAATCCATACAAGATTATTCAACTCTCTATAAACCAAAGCACCTCCTCCAAGAACTTTGATATCAAAACCTGAGAACTTAGGCATTTTCTATCATAAGCAGCTGTAAGTAGAAACTCTGTAACACAGAAGTGAACCTGCCCTTATCTCACTTTAGTTACTTATCTTTTATATGGATAGGAACCCAACTGTCTGAGCAACGTGGAAATTGTTTTGACACTTACGGGGCTTCACAGGCCTTATATGGGCTAGTAAGACTAGAGGAGTACCACAGTGAACTCAGACTTTCTTCTTAGAGTTCCTAAGACAACATTTACATTTGTTCAAAGAGAAAGGGCAAGACTCAAAATGAATGTACAAACTAATCCCTTGCACATGAGAGCAGAGGACAAGTTACAACTTTCAACTTAGAGTATAAATCTCACCATGGTAATTCTAACTCTCAGACAAAATATTGCCTGTCAGCAGGTATCACCACATATTCGGAACTTGGAAGTTTCCTATATAACCAGCACCAGAAGCTTAGAGGTCTAGTTTTATCTGTAAAATTATAGATATATAGAAAATGTGGGTATCTCATGATTATGGAGGGGTTCTCCTTACCCTTAATTTGTTACAAAATCAGCTGTAATTCTATTTGTGGATTTCATCTCTTGTCACAAACTGAAGCTGCAGTGCATTACTTTCATAGAGCAGACAAATTGAACTTTAGAATTCTCAAAATCCAGTCATGAATCTAAACTTGTATCCATTATAACTATATACCAAGAGATCTTATGGGAAAAAAAAAAACTACAGTATAGAAAAAAATATGTAAATTAGTGAAAACAGTAGAGAAACTAAAAATACAGTGTACTGAATGTATCATCAGGATACAGCTGTTTCGAAAGAAACAACTATGATTATAACTAGATATAGCAAAACTTCTAAATGTTTTATAAAGTCTTAATTCAAGCTTTTATGGCTTGATCTAAATTCTAGGTTCTTACTGGTTTTAGAAATCCACCAGTAAAGATGTAAGAAATTACTTCAGACTCTAGCTTTTACAGCAAAGTCAATAAAAATAAGATCCCAGATATGAACCTCCCTTTCAGCCACATATATTATAGTGGAGACATATGTTACACTAAGCAAATTCCTGCCTAATGGAAGGACCAAAGACTGTCTTGGCTTTCATGGGATTTGCAGATGTGTGGCTTCCTGATTGTCCTCAGCTATGAGACATTTGTCATGACATGGCAAAAAAAAAAAAAAAACAAACCAAACCCAACACAACCTGAAAAAACCCTCAGGATCCCAAACAACAAGCATCAGAAGTCATACAGGTCACATAAACACTATAAGAACTGAGGTCATGGATTAGTTTGGGACAGGTATGAGGTAGCCCCAATTCGAGCTGCTGAACACAGGGCAGCTGGCATAATGCACTATAAAGGAGAGCTTGACCTCTCTTCTCTGAAGTCTTGGTCTTACCTGACATTTCCTCACATCGGTGTGCTGACTTGTCACCATAGTCATACGAATTTGCCCTCAGTACCACGAACTGGAAGTAATAGAGCAACCACTGCTCCCAGCTGCCTGAGCAGGGCACACTGCTGTACTCAGACTGTCTCTGCTGGAATAAACATGGGTGGCTTTCTCTCCAGATGAGAGACTGAGAGTATCTGTTAATAACACTATGATTTTACAGTTTATTAATTTGTATTAACAACAAGGAAGATAGCCTGTGATCCATGTATAAAATCATGAAATAGAGGTAAAGAATATTTTTATTTGAAAATAATTTAGACTGACAGATTCCTTCTGTGGCTGTAGGCATTCATAAAACAGAGGGGGCTAATAGAGTTTTAGAAAGTAAAGTTATGTGACAGCTCAGTTTAACAGTGAAGAATCACTTTACAGAGTGAGAGTTCTGTCTTAACTCACAGTTTGGCCCAAGGATCTGTGAATTGCTTCATTATTTTCTTCTAGTTTCAATTATTAATCTGTTTTTTCATTACACTTGAGGAGTCAGTCAGGATGGAGCAGTCTTCACTAAAAATATTATTCATTCAGTCAAACACAAATAATATTGGTGGCCAGTTTAAGACACGACACTGTTGGGGCTCTGGCTCTTCATTGAAGTAATTTCCATTTTGATATTTGACAATTTCTTGTTTAAAGAAGAATCTCTTTTAACTGCTTGCATTAGAATTTCACAGTTCACCAAAATAACATAAAATTTCATTAAGTCTCCGCAGAAAAATAACTTTATCTTCAGTATATATGCTCAGTCAGTTAGAAACATTGCAATAGTAGATGTAAAGAGGGCATTTAACCAAAAATTCCAAAAATCTTCATTAGTATTCCCAGACAATTGTGTTATTCAGTATGAGAATACCTACTCCACTGTATTAATTATTATGTGTAATGTCCCTGCATCCTTTTTTGTTTATATTTCTCAACTTGCTAAAGGCTGAATACTGGACTATTTGTTCAAGTAGCACAATAATATCCAAAACAAAAAATAAGGCATCTGAAGTAAAAATAACATATGCTGGCATACATTTGCTACACCAAATGGTCTTAAACAAGATTAGGGCATCTCCCATCAGACTGTGTGCATTAAAATTCTAAGCATGTAGTGAGAGAGATCCAGATGGGTAGGAGCAGTTGAGAAATATAATGCAGTAGATGTGTTACGTCTAAAGAGGGGTGGAGGTCTTCATACAGTCTATGTGACTACAGATTGTAATTATATTTCCTTTCAGCTTCCTCTCCTTCTCAAAATCACCAAATGCAAAGACTGTTTCACAAGGAATATGAGGAAAGTCCTCTGGGACTTTCATTTTCGCAAGATTACCACATGAAATGCTTCAAATTAATAACTGGTTTTCTATAGCTTTAATCAGAAAAGCAATGTTAATCTAATCCATTCTTTTTTTTTCCTTCAGGATGTTTATTTGAACTATTAACATGACTGGAGAAAAAATATGGTGGTATACTATTTGGTTTAGAAAAACATATTCTATGTGAAAATACACATCTGCAAAAGATGATAACGCAAGACTGGAATGTAAAGTAAAAAAGTGAAAGTGTTTGCAGCATGTGATTTTGATAAATTACATTTTTTCTTAACATGGATGGTACTGATATCTTACAAGATTTTTGGTAACCCACTGTTCCCACCCTGTACAGCAAGGTCTACTAATCACCGACCTGCAGAAAGTTCTGTCTCCACTGGCTCGTCAGCCAGTAGTTTTGGCAGTGGATACAGCATGGATAGCGAAGGCAGCAGCAGTGCCACAGGAGAGAATAATCTATTTCCCATTACAAGAATGTAAGGCTTTTCCTTTAATGTACTGTATCCGTGCAATGACTATGTATAGACCTTTCCCTTGCCGGTCATCCTCTTACGTAGTTTTCTCTGCAGACTTGAGTTATGCAGTAGAATAGCAGATACCTGGGGAGAATTTCTGAGAGCTTATACTTTTATAATTCTTTGTTGAGCATTGAATTGTTAATAACCAACCAAACCTCTGCCTCAACCTCATGAATTTATTGCTGTCACACAGGAGAGGTACTAGACAGCCTTTGATGAAAGCGTGTAGAGGTGAGCTGGGGTTATGTTTTAAAAATACAACTTTTGTAGGCCTAAGAATGCGTAGTTCAAGTTTTCAGATTGACCTCTTTCTTGAAAAAAGTATTACTAGTGCAACTGAAATTCAGATTCAGATATAACTTAACTTTTTCCAAGTTTTTAAGAGTTTGAGTAGAAACTCTCAGTTCTTGGTTGGAAAAAGTTTTTTGGGATAGAGCTCCTGTAGGAATTATCAAGCTACTATCAGTGTAATGACCCTATAAAATGATTTCATTTTCAAACATTTTATCCACTTAACTACTCCACAGAGAAAAGTTGCCAGGATTTTTCCCCTTCAACTTTGGCAGCATGAACCTTTGTTAAGCAAATTAATTTATGTTCCTTTATAGGAAAAAGTAATTTCTTCTCATCAACTTAATGTTTTTAACCTGCAAATTTTATAGATTGACGATTCTCAAAATAATAATTGGTGGTCATTGCTCATTCAGTGTCTGAAATAGTTGTTCCATGTTTTCCTCTGGGACACAAGTTTTTGCTTTTCCCTTGAAGTCCTAATTATTAGTCACAAGATCTTGATAAAATCTTCCTAAAAAAGCTTGAATGACAAAAAAGTAATTCTTAGAACTGTGACATTTCTAAGTATTCATCATTTTCTACAATAAAACACAATGATATTTGTCTACAGTTTATTAGTAACTAAAAGTAAAATCGACACAAATCTAACATTTCAATCTCAACTTTAGAGTCTAGGGGGACAATGTGAGATCAGGTTCTGGGGTGTAATTTCTGTAATGTTCATTGGACTTTTCATTCATATTTCTCTGGGTTAAAATGAGTTATACTTCCCCATGGTGAAAATACGATCTTTAATTGGATTTGACAATCTCAAAAGAAATTTATTTTACCATAATTCCTAATGAGAAAAATAAAGATGCATAAAATCTTTGTACTCAGAAACACAAGATGGAGCTCTCAATAGAAGTTTTTAGTTCACATATGCTAAAACTGCGTCCAAATATTATCACTTACTGTCTATTGCCTATTAATGTGACAGTATGTACAGTTACTTGGTATTGGGATGACAGATTCACTAGTCCATTAAGTCTGAAATCAGCCCCACTTCTACTGGAAAGCAGGAAGAAGTCTCCATGGCTTCAGCTTTTCTCATAGTAATTTCTTTCCATGGTTTTTACTTAATTAAATAAAATATATTCAGCCCTCTTATTTTCTGTTAAGGGCTAGATTTATTTTTTTTTTCTTCACATTTTTAAGGTAAATCACTTACATGCTGATGTTAGAAACTTTAAAAGTTACACAAGACATTTATAGAGACAATAAATGCTTTCTTCTGCATGTTAGTCTTTAGGACTTTACATAGCAATATAATGAAAATGAATGACAAAATTACTGTTTACCATCAGAGGCCTTTGGGATAATTCCTGGGGAGAATGTTTTAAAACAAATAACTTTCCATTTTGAATTTTGGATAAAACTTCTTGTATATCTGAATATACATATGATTGATATTCTAGTCAACATTTGCATTCACACTGGCTTGATAATGACTTCAGGGACTGTGACCTTGTACACTCATTCAGAGTATCCATAAGACCACACCTCACACTTTGGATGTGAAGCGTTAAGTAGGCTAAATAATTTCAAATGTCTTGGCATATTAAAAAATTTTAGTTATAAGTTCCTTGTTTGGATTAAGTTTCTGATCTATCAATAGAAAATTTCTTGTATAGGCTGAGTTTTAAACTCTTTAGTCCAAATGCTTTTAACCATAGGAATATTTAGTCATGAAGCAAAATAGAAGAATTAAATAGTGACACCATGGGAATTATTTGATAAGGTAACTAATTAGAATACTTGCCAATATTAAATATTGTTATAGCTATCAAGGGAAATTAATCACTATACACAGTTATACACAGCTGAGTAAATCTTGTAAAGTCTTTCTATTTGGGAGATATTTTTTTAAAAGACACTTGTAATCCAGTTGTAATACCTATGAAAGTTACTCATGTTATCATCTCTGATAAATACCAAATTTTCTATGCTTTTGTATTGTGTAACCATCTATACTAGTACAATGTGTTTAAAATTATATTAATTTTGAACGTAAAGTTGAAAAGCAACTGAATGTTTAAGGAATCTCACCATAGGGACAAATAATTACTGTATCATATTTATAATATGTTTCATGAAACATTACCTCACAGAAGAAAAAAATAACTTTCAGTTAAAATTGAATCTAAAATCACTTTTAAAAATTACGTTTTATACTAATTTTTTAGTTCACTGTGAACTTGGACAGCTTCTGTTGCTGCCGTGAAATATGAAGCTGGCTCATTGCTATCAAAGAACAGTACTAACCCTTTAACCCCGGAGGAATCACATGCATATGAAGATAATGTCTTATATTCTCTATCACAGCATTTCTGAGTCTTAAGGGAGAAAAACAAATCGAAGCACAAATATTTCATAGTGGCAGACATATTTTTGAGAGTAACTGTAATCATGCCTTTGAGCTTGCAACAATATGTTTAAAGATAGATTATATTTTACCTAACATTCATTGCCCAAAATAGACATTTAGATTGTAATCCAGGTTCTTTTTACATCCAGTGAAGAAAGATAAGGACCTCCAGAGCATGATTTATTCCACTAATTTTAAGATTAATGTAAATCTCAGAACTGAATTGTTTCTTATGTAAAACTTAAACTGTAATGTAAAAGCAGTCATTAAAAGAAGATGACCACAGTCATGTCTTACCTTTAAGGTAATGGTATTGTAGACCAAATATCAATTTTGGGACTCATTATATATTTCACTTTTCACTATAACAGGATAAAGTGAGGAGAGGAGCTATGCAGACTGGCTGTGAAATCTCAGGTTGATGGGGGGCAGGTAGCAGACAGCACCTATAAGAATGTACAGCCTTAGCAAGATGTGATGGTGGTTGCCTCCACAAAAAATAATACTCTTAAGTGATCTCTCCAAATAACAATAGAAAAAAAAAAGTATTGTCTACTTTATTTTCTTGATATTAAATATATATATATATATACACATATACACTTTTGTTTTTTTTTTTTTTAGAAATACCTGTGATGTTTGTTTTTTTGTACAGAACCAAGCCTCATTGGTTTGAGTGTCTCATTTTCTTAGATCTCACCCTTTTATGGTCTTATTGACAAGTATCACCATGTCTTTTAACAGAGGGAAGATGAGCCAGAATGGACAAGAACCTGTAAAGCAGTCGGGAGTAGGATTAACCGATGCAGAAGGTAAAAAGAAATACAAACAACACTACAGTGGTATCCCATGTTTATAGAAGTATTATGTTTATTTCCTTTACTTGTCATGATATGAAAGATTAGCCTATGCTCTCTTTGTATTGTAGATTGAGATCCTGAATTTCATTTACTCTAAGGGGCCTTTATACATAGAACCAATGTAATGAGTCTTCAGTTTAAATGAGAACAGTGTCTTACCTGTTTATTTAAAGTAATTAAATAGTTAGATCGCAATTAATAATATCTGTCTTTCAATGTTCATTGCTCTTCCTAGTATTGGAATAAGAGATATGAAGTATGGAGCTGGCTTAGTACTTATTAAATCAGAAGAAAATATCCAATGGCTGTCAGGCTCTATTTCTATAACATTTCAGAATATTTACTTCATGAAGCAATTATTAATCTTGGTGTCTACATAAAACATTAAGTTTAAATAAAAATATTAGCTGAATATCAGGCTTGACTGCTGCACTTAGACTATAGTGAAACTCACCTGTTTGGGAAATCCTGAGTGAATATTTTCAGTATGAATGTGGTGCTGCCAAAGAAGGAGACATTGCAATATTGAAACTGGAAAGAGCCTGACAGAATGGCTTTCAAAATTTCATGAGCAATGTGTTTATCTCTTTCATGTGTAATAATAGACAACTGCATGAAAATTAAGAGAGTATTTTGTATTGACAGATATGTTAGGAAAATTCCATTTCCCTTTGCATATAAGGTATATTCTTTCAAGCATATGTTTCTGTTGACCTCAAATATAAAACTTAATTATCATGACCTTCATTTTATTATTAAAATAATAGTTTTATCATTTAAATGCATTTCAATGCATCTTTGAGATATTAATTAATTTATAAATTGAAATTCATATATACAATTGAAGTTAACTTCACGTTCAGTTCAGTTTTAAAAAATCAACATTTTTCAGGTTTCTGCAATCTGTATACATAGGGAAATACTTGTTGCTATATTTGAGGTAAAAGCAGTCTAATGTTCCACATATTTGAAGAAATCAAATTAGAATTTGAAGGTAGAACTGTAAAGCTGTCATTTTCAAACCAAGGAGCCTTAAATGTGTATATGCATTTTACTAAATCTTTCAGTACCTAGTATTCATCATACAAAAATTCAAATTCATCTGCTTATCAAACTTTAATTTGTTCAATGGTGTTTTTAAGTATTTGAAAACCAAACTATTTTATAAAAGAGAAATGGTGGGATGAAAATGGGAAATCAGGAATTTTCCATTTTTACTTTGTCATGATGTGTTTTATACAGGATGATAATTGTAAACAAACAGTTTTTCATCATTTTGTTCATCATAAATTGCCCCTCAGGTGGGGTCATGGATCGTAAATTTAAGAACCTATAAATACAAAAAGTTTTAATTTAATGTTTGTATAATTAAAAACAAACAAACCCAACCAAAACCACACCTTTTGAAACATTCTAAAAGATGTGTACATATCATGTGATCACTGAAATTACTTTTCCAGTCAAAGCCATTTTTCTGCTCATCTTCAAAATCTGCAAATAACTCAAGAGCTGCAATTCCCGCATTTTCACTTATGATGCAATTCACTTCTCCTAACTTGAGAACTCTAAGAGTTACAAATCCAAGTTTGATAAAATGAATTGTTCTTATTAAGTGTTGGTTTATCCCCTTTCAGAGAAGCTGGAACAGTTTTTAGTATCTAATTTCTGGCTGAATAAGATGGGACAGATCAATTTCAAATGATAAATTAAACTAAAGCTGGAAAACAATCCAAAAGCATTTCAGTTTCAGCATGTAAATATAATTATCTTTGGGTGAAGTAGCTCAGAATTTAGAGGAACTCAAGATTAACTGAAAATAACTTCAGTATTATGGAATTCTTGTGGTATTCTTTTCATAGATGAACAAAAGTGAATGAAAATCTTAAAGTCTTAAAGAGCAAATGGTATTTTTTCTGTAGTTCACTTATCTTTGTTGTGGACCAGATGAGCTCTGAATTAACTGAAAGCAAATATTCATTCCCATTTTTCATTAATTTGTAGAGAGCTCCCATAGTTGACATTTGTATTCTCACTTGAAATTAGGGATTTAGTGCTATACTTAAAACCTTCTAAAAATAGTGCTATTTTTACATTTTCAAATATTCTTAATGGATAACTTCTGTGAAAAATAGCCTGTGGATTACTCTTTTTAAAACTGTGCAGAATAAATTCAATTGCTTAAACATGCAGATCTACTGCTACTTGAAAAGTTGTAGTCATCCAAGTTATTCACACAGGCCTGGAAAACATGGATGGGGACTTTCAGGAACAAGAGTTTTAAGACCAGTAGCTGGAGGCAAACCAAGTTAAGACTCTCAAATGGCAATGAAAACTGGTTTCTAGACAACTTAATCAAAGATGTAGCAGCAGGGATTGGATTGAGTTCACAAGGTATGACACCAAAATGTAGGGATGTACATAAGTGGAATCACCAGGGAAAAATGTGCTCCTTTTGTAATTGTTTACCCACTCAAGAAATGTGTTAATGTTTTGTTGGGCATAGTTTTTGTGCTATTAAGATGTATCAGTTAAGTTATAAGTAAAAATTAGAAAACAGTACTATTTACTTCACTGACACAACCATATGGTCAATATAAATAACTGTGAGTATTGCTATGATAATCTTTGTTTCTATGAACAGATCATCTTGTCATATTCTGTATTTTCATACTACTTAATAATATAAAATAATTCAGAGTTTTGTTCTTGAACACTGTGTTACAGTTATTTTTATGATATGCATTGGTGCATGCTATCTTACACTGGACATTCTGCCATGAGCAGATTAAATACTTCATCTTCTTAAACTTATAGAAAATCTTATGATGCATATTGTGATCTTCATTGAGTTATGCGAACCAATTTCTCTATTCATTTCATAAAGTGCAATATCTTTTGTTTAAAAATTTCTTCCTACATGCTGTGGAATATTACAGACATTACAGACAAAAAAAAAAAAAAAAAAAAAAACAAAAAAAAAAAACACAATTGCATTCCTTGTAAGGATTGAAACTAACAATTAAAAGCATATGATTAATATCTTGATTCAGTCGTAGATCATGATTGGTCTATTTGCCCTATGAATCTGCTCAGCCAATAGATCCCAGATGGTATTTTCCACCTACCAACAATTTATCCAATTAAGAAATATATGGGGAAATTATTTTCATATATTTCAAAGGTCTGAATTTACTAGGTAATCCCAAAATGCCATTATTTCTAATAGATAAGAGATATAAATAGCATTTTAATTGAAATAGTTTACTATGAGGAAATTTTGGATCTTCTAATTTTGAAGATGCTATATACATGAAAAATATCATTCTTCTAGGATTACAAATATTGAAGTTCATCTCAGACAAAGACTTTTTTATGAAAGATGGACATATTATTAAGTATGACCTGACTTCACTCACTGAGTACCTTTTGGAATGAATGAGTACTCACAGTGCCTCTGTCATCTTCTGTGCTTGGCATCATTGTTGTTAGGATTTTCAGTAAGAAAATTGTAAACTTTCTATAGAAACAGAGTGACTCCCCACAGGCATCTTCCAAGAGAGTGTTTTATTCACTTTGAAAAAAAAAAATCCCATCCAGTCCATATTCTGAATATCAAAAACTTCTCTACACAGTTCTGCCATGGCTCAGAGGCTCACTTCCTTACATTTCCAGTGGTCCTTTGAGCATCATCCTTTGAATGTAGTAAAATGAAGTCCTGTAAGTAAGAAACTCTCTCCCTGTATAAATGACTGAAACTGCACAGAAAATTTCAGAATATTCTGGTAAAGCCCCTGTAGATGTATTTCCATACCTGAGCAGAAGGAAGGGATTTGTACTATTTCAAAATCTGATGATACACACAAAATTACTGAACTTCTGCAAGACACACTAGTGATATGCACTCATTGCTTACATATCCTTCAATGAACTCTTCCAAAGTTTTCCATTTTTTCATGCTATGCATTTGCCTAAGTTACAGGTTAAAAAATAAAACAACCAACCAAACAGTAAACAAACAAAACAAAGCAACAAACAAGCTCTGTGATAACATCATGCTTTAACAGGCAAATTTTACAATACTGTGATTTAGATTTAATCTATTCAGAGTAGTCTAAAATAATAGACCAATATTTTTCTTAATATTTGAGTTTTGTGGTTCATCAGCCTGAATTATAAACAAAAAAAAAATCAGTTTTAACAGTTTCATCACTTAACTTTATATTTCATTAGTAAAGACAGTCTAATCTTTATCTATGAGAAAAATGGTTGAGATACCACATAAAACTTAAAACAGGCTAAGAGGTCATTCTAATAACATTTTGGAGGAAAGGTGCATGACCTCTGCAAGTAAGTGACTGACAGCCATTTGGCTTATAAATTTTCCTTTATAGATTTCTGAGTGGTCCTAGTGAAATTTTCATCCATCACATCTGCACCGAATAGACCCTGGAGCAAATTATCTTGCAAACTGTATCATGCTTTCCTTTGAAGAGATACCCAAGAGTACTATGTGGATTAGCTCTCTTGAGTAAAATAAGGTGTTAAAACAAAATGATAGCACAGGCATAACTAAGCATTGCCACATTTTTTTAAGTAATTAAAACTCAGAAGAAAAAATCATTCTCCTTTTACTTGCTATTTAGTTGGATTAGAGTAACTCTGTTTAAGCCAAAAGCCTCACTGTGGTATGACTAAGAACAGACTAAACTGTTGAGATGTTGGTGAAGTCAACTTGCTGCATCTCCATATGCTAAAAATTTACCTTTTTTTTTTTTTTTAACTCCAGTGGTTGAAATATCAAAACTATAATATTAGTCCTTATGATGATGTTCAGAGATAAATGGTCTTAATTTTGGACCTTCAACCAGAAATTGGATTAACTAGGAGGGGAACAAAGACAGATGAAGGAAATTATTAAGGGCTAATCATGGTAGTTACTGAGATTTTCAAAT